GTAATGCGATCTAAGTGGTGCAATCTACGTGGGGCAACCAACGAGTCCCAAAACATGTTACGCAATGTCTGTTGTCCACTATCGGGGGTGCGACACATGTAGTGCCATCTATGTGATGCGATACCCGTGGCGCAACCTATGTGAAGCCATGTCTGGTGTGCAATATCGATTGTGCCATGTATGTGGTACATTATGTGCTGTGTTAGATGGCAAGACAATCTGTGCAATGCGACAGGCGTTGAGCATTGTACACGGTGCTATATATGTGATTGTGCAATCAACGCTGCGCAGTGAGCGTAAAGCAATCTATGCTGTGAACGACCCAGGACATGCCATCTGCGTGCTGCCGTGTACAAGAAGCAATGGACATGGTTTGATCTACGCGGTGCAAATCTAAGCGTCGAAATCTATGCATCACGCCTTACGTAGCGCAACATTTATTGTCAATATATGTTGTGCAGTATATGCGGTTGTGCAGCCTGCCCCAGCGAGGGAACCAATTTACACAGCAGCCTGCCCCAAGCGATTTTCGAACACACGATGCCCACGCGTTTTCTTGTGATGATTCGGCGACAACCGGGCCGAATACAGACGTGTCTGGGTTGAGATGCACTGTTGCCTCATCTCTTCGGCTTCACTTCGGGATTACTTTGGGCCCACCACCGTGTACCCGAATGAACCTGGATATATCGGTGCAAATCATCATTCCAAGAATGTTGGTTAGCTGTCTGTTTTATGTTTCGTGTTGCCGTGGGTTCGTGAACATGTTTTTTGATGCCACCCTCGCCATCCATTATCATCAAGCATGATTCGGAATACGTGGCTGGCGTGGCTCAGCGGCGCACCCGGGGGAGGGCGAACCTTCGACTTGCTTTTCGTGTTCGTCACACGTTTGATCCGGTTGCTTCTCATAGTGTCTTCAAGAACGTGGACAACCAGGCAAGGCAACTCTTGAACGACCGGGCTGATCATCTGGCCGGCTGTGGCGTCAATGGGATCTGATGCGGCCGCGCTGATGTCCATCGTTGGGTTGGTTTTGCTGGCTAACCCATGCGCTACGGGGACTGGCGGCCCCGGCTCAGTTTCCACACGTGCGGTTGCGTGATATGTGTAACGCGACGTACGCGGCGCACTATATGCGATGCAACTTGTGCTGGAATGGAACTAAGAGCGCGCCATAGGCACGATTTTATTCCTGCACTCTACGACGCGCATTCCAACGGCGACGACGGGCGGCGATGAGGCGGCAACGAAGCGGCGACGGGGCGCCGACAGCGGCCACATAGCCGCCAGACAGAAGACGCGGCCCAGACGACAGGCGGCGACGAGGCGGCGACGGCGGCCACATAGCCGCCATGCCGAAGACGTGACCCAACTCCCTAGAACAGAACGAGGAAACCCAAAATACAAGCACGCATTGGGGAATTCGTACGTGTCTATATATAAAAAAACAAATAAATATATGAATATATATATATATATATGTATGAACATATGTATTCGTATATGTTACTGTTTCGTCTGTGTGTAGATGGACTTGTCTACAGTTGTGAACATGTATACGCGTCATCATGTCCCTGGCACTTTGAAGCGTGGGAGAAAGCCAAGGTCTGCCTCGCAATGTGTGTGCGAGCGCGTGTGTGCGTGTGTGTGTGCGCGTGCGCGCACGCGCGCGTGCGTGTGCGTGCGCGTGCGCGCGTGCGCGTGCGCACCCCATTGTGTGCGCGCGCACGCGTGCGTCGGGCCGTCGAGGGCCAGCGACCAGCCGCATGGGAGCAACTGACCGCGGCCTGCGCCAGCGGGGGCCCACGTGGGCCGCTCAGAAAGCAGAGAGGATGTAATCCCGAGGCTCCAGAGAAGGAAATGCGCAGATCACCGACAGCGAGAACATTCGCACCGTCAGCACGCCCTGCCTAGCGCAGACGCGCCCAGTGGCCATCCCAAGGGGGCCAGCCGATGACCACTCTCGGGGCAACCCCAGCAGTGGCTAGAGGCGGCCCGCCGAGGGACCACACCAGCATGCTGTGCGAGGGTGCTCCCTAAGGGCTGACAACCTCTCACCATCAAGTTCGTCGTGGGGGGATCGGCCGCGAAGCCTCCAGGACCTCCTCGACCATATCCTGCCCTGCGGGGGTCAGCGCGCCCTCGTCGTTGACGCAGGCCGTCGACGCCGCCTCCGCAAAAGACGGGGGAGGTTCCCGGACAGCGAACCCGGGCGCAGGGACAGCGCCGCCGTCCGCGACGTGAGGGCTGCCAGGGCCTCCCGAAGGCCGCCGTCGCGAGCATCGAGCCCCGTCCTCGTCGACGCGGCATTCCCTCACTCGCCGCCGAATCCCGCTCCAGGCGACTCACGGGGCGGGAGAGCGCATGCAGGGCGGGCGCCGCCTGCGGAAGGCCCAGCAGCCAGCGGCTGCGGGCGCACCACGGGCAGCTCGTCCGACCAGGCGCCCTCGAGCTCGCCGGCGGCCGCCTCTGCCACGTCCATCTTCTCACCGCCACC